CTACCCCCTATCCGCACCCCCCCCACCCACACCCAGGACCCCCCACTCCAGCTGATGTCAACCGGGCTGACACTATCGACTCGCGGCGCCGTCTAAGGTCCTCTTAAGGTCCCCGAATCTTGCATACTGACGCGAGGGACTTCCGCCTCGTCTCCGGGCCTCGATCGCGCTTGCACTTGTCCGGGAAGAAGTCGAGGCAACAATCCGCGATGGCATAAAAAAGTGAGAGTGAGTGAGTGGAGAAAGAGAAAGATTATATATAATATATATATATATTATATATATATATATATATATATATATATATATATAGAGAGGAGAGAGAGAGAGAGAGAGAGAGAGAGAGAGAGAGAGAGAGAGAAGAGAGAGAGAGAAAGAGAAAGAGAAAGAGAAAGAGAAAAGAAAAAGAAAAAGAAAAGAAAAAGAAAAGAAAGAGAAAAAAAAGAAGAAAAAAAAGAAAACACCCAATCCACCAATCATCACGCCCCCTTAAAAAAAAAACACACAAACCCAAGCCCCCCTCCCAACTCCACCCACCCCAACCCCACCGAGAGACCCAAACCCAAACCCCAACACACGCCCGAGCACGCCACCGAGAGGCCCCGGCGACACCGCCCTCGCCAGCCCGGGCAAGACTCAACACCAGCTGGCACCCACCGCAACCATCTGAGGAGGCGAGACCCTAATCAAGCCCATAATGACGCGGAGGGAGAGCGTCTTAATGAGCGCGAGGGGGGGGGGGGACCGCGTGGCCACGCTGCCCAGGACGGGGACGGACCTCCTCCGACGTCGAAGGGGGGGGGGCTGGAATTCGTCACATAGGAGAGGGAGGGAAGGAGAATAGGGGAGGAGGGAAGGAGGGGGGAGGAGAGGAGGAGAGGAGGAGAGAGGGAGGGACAGAGAGAAAGAGAGAAAGAGAGAAAGAGAGAAAGAGAGAGAGAGAGAAAGAGAGAGAGAGAGAGAGAGAGAGAGAGAGAGAGAGAGAGAGAGAGAGAGAGAGAGAGAAGACGAGAGAGAGAGGAGAGAGAGAGAAGAGAGGGAGAGAGAGAGAGAGGAGGGGGAGGGGGGGGGGGCCGGAACCCCAACCCGCAGCCGCATAAGGCCAGGTCCCGCCGACGAGTGTCCATCACCAGTCACACGACATCGATGAACCCGAACACGGCATCCAGCTTAATAAAACCCGGATAATTAAAAGGATCAGCTGGTCGCTCGATTTACGTAAGGGGGGAAGGACAGTGCAATACTTACGAACAGGGGAAAAGGGGGAGAGGAAGTGGGTGAAACGGAAGAGAGAAAAGAAGAGAATAAGAGAACGATAAAATGTGCGGGATAGAGAAGTTGAGGGAAAGGAGGAGGAAAGTGAGGAAAGGATGGGTAGAGAGAGGAAAGGAGAGGAGAGCATATGAGACGAAGGAGAGGGAGGAAGGGAGAAAGGGAAAGAGATTTGAGCGATAGATCACTAAGAAAAAAGAAGAGAGGAGAGGAGAAGGAAGGAGGAAAGGATGGGTGGAAGGGAAAGAGAAAGAGAGATTGAGGGATAGAACGAAGAAAGGCAGGGAAGGAGGGAATAGAAGAAGATAAGAAGCAGAAGGAAGGAGAAAAGATAGAAAGGAATAAGGTGAGGATAATGGAGATATTAGTACAAAGAGTAACGGGGAATTATTCTCTATTCTATATTTCTATTCACCCATTTTCTTCCATACAATTTTGCACATTAGCCCGCCATTTTGCCGAATGCAGTGTATTAACCCTGTTGCACATGCTATTAACATATTATCTGAATATGTTTTTTCATGTTAATCATATTAATTATATTCATATTCTTATATTATTATATTAAGATACTATTTTCTCTGATACGAGTTTTGACTTTATTTCGGCATTTTTCTCTCTCTCTATTTGCATTCTTATTATTTTCGTTTATTGCTCCCTTGTTATCTCGTTAAATGCATATGTCAATAAATAGCCATGAGAGAGAGAGAGAGAGAGAGAGAGAGAGAGAGAGAGAGCGAGAGAGAGAAGAGAGAGAGAGAGAGAGAGAGAGAGAGAGAGAGAGAGAGAGAGAGAGAGAAAGAAAAGAAAGAAAGAAAGAAGAAGAAAGAAGAAAGAGAGAGAGGAGAGAAGAGAGAAGAGAGAAGAAAGAAGAAAGAAAGAAGAAAGAAAGAAGAAAGAAAGAAGAAGAGAAAGAAAGGAAGAGAGAAGAGAAAAAGAAAGAAGAAAGAAAGAAAGAAGAAAGAGAAAAAAGAGAAAAAAAAGAAACAGAGAGAGAGCCAAACGAATCTTCAAAAAGCGTCGTGCCATCTGCGCCACGGATGAATACCACGCAAGTGTGATGACTGGAAACAAGATTATAATAGCGCCATCCCCCCCCCGTCTTCTCCCCCCGCCGACATTCCCACGTCCACGAAGTAGAAAGTTCCCCCCACCCACCCACCCACCCAAAAAAATAATAATTAAAATAAGGTAAAAATAATAATAGATAAAATAAATAAAATACTTGTGTGGCGCTTGCACTCCAATCAAAGGGAAGAGTTGGCTAAGGGGGACTTCCGGGGGTGGGGAGGGGGCCGCTACCCTAAAAAGTACCCCCCCCCTGGTCGTGGACGCTCCTATGTTCCGACGCCCCCCCC